AAGGCTGGATTTGGTACCTGGAATCAGAAGCTCCCCAAAGCTGGAGTAGGATCTCCATGGTCCTGCTCTATACGTGACCAACCTGCTGCTGGTGGGTCCTCCCATGAGTTTGCTGCTTATGCTGTGTTTTTCATAGAATTCAGGCTGAAGTTGTGTGGTGGGTGCCTGCTGCTGGGTTTGTGGAGTGAAAGTTTCACAAAATAGCATCACAGTTTGTGAGCAGTGGCCTGGAGAGGAGATGTGTTTTCTCTGTGTTTGTTTTCTCTGTGTTTTCTCTGTGTTTTCTCTGTGTTAAGGGCTCTGAAGCATTTAATTGAAAGTCTTTAGCAACCTTGTACTTAGGAAGAGGAGCTGGGAATTTGACAGTAGATTTTTGGTGTCAAATGTGTGCCTTTTGCTATTTCTGGGGAGAAAAAAAGGAAAGAAAAACAAGGCAAAGTGGCCAAATTGTGATCTATCCAGCTTTGCAAATCTTCAGTAAAGACCTGCTCAAACTTAGGTGCCAAATCCTGCAGTCAGGCTTGCTCCCAAATGTTCTTACTCCCCAGATCCCAATAGGGGAAACTTCCTCTCCCAAGTCCTCGGGTTTGGGGACAAAAGCAAAAACTCCTTTTCCCTTTGTCCTTCCAGAAGAGCCATCCCAAGAGCATCCCACAGCTCTGAGCTTCCTGCTGGGTGCTCAGGCCTGGGAACATCCCACCAGAACTGGGGAGGTTACAGGGGCTGCAGGGTCCTCCCACAGACCCCAGCACAACCAGGGATCCTGGATCACACACACTTGGGACAGGAGTCTGTTTTAAGCACTCCTGCACCCGTGTCCCAGACCTTCTGGCCATGCTGCAGTAGTCATTACCACTTCTGGGAGTGCTGCAATTTTCTGTAATTTCAGTTCCTCAATTACATTGATTATCACATTAAACATTCCTGGTACTACAGGAACAAACTAAAAATAATAAGCTTGTATCTTCCTAATACAAATGAAACCCATTTGTACTACTAAAAGTGTAGCAGGTTCATTGTTTCACAGTAATGAAGCTTTCATCTCAAGAGATTCAATTCATAAAAAAAACTTGCCAAGGCTTTGCACGTTTTCTTTTTTTTCAAACTGCCATTAACAGTCCTCTAAGTTCATATCTTATTCAGCATTAAGCCAACAACTGAAATAAAAGAGAAGAGATACAGAAAAGCAGAAAAAAACCACCATCATCTCTGATGGCAGGGACCCCACATCACCCCCAGCCAGGGTCAGTGCCCACCCAGGCTGAAGGCTTTGTGCACCTTCCCCTGCTAGAAATAGCTGCAGACACCTTTGTTCCACTTCCCAAAATAGAGACACGTTGCAAAGGAGATAGGAAGAGCAAAACACTGCACATGAGCTCTGTTTTTATATCTATAAATATCAATTTGTAACCAAACCCAGGTTGCAGGGTGGGCATTAGCCCAGCTGAGGAGATGCTGTGTGAGGGAAGCCAAGGGAAGGATGCAGGCACCAGGTGGGAGTGAGGAACCAGCAGGTTTTGATGTTTTCCATTTCTGCCCATGACATGATCCAAGTCCCCACACTGTGATTAAAACATAGCACATAAAAATTGAGATCTTGCCACTCCAGAAGTTCAGCAAAGGTAAACAGTCCATCTTCAGGTCTGCTCCCTGACTCCACAGCTCAGGACAGGCTTTGAGGGAGCATCTCCTGCTCCAGAAGAGTTTGGGGGGTGGGCATGGCACCCAGGCTCTGCTCTGAGGCTCCCCCAGGGGAAACGAGCTCCTGCTACCCCTGGGTAAATAAAACAAAAGTGGTCCTGCTTTTCCCAGTCTGGTGGCCTCTGGTGACAGAATGGCACTGAGGGACAGTGCTGCTGGAGCTGACCAGAATGGCACTGAGGGGCAGTGCTGCTGGAGCTGACCAGAATGGCACTGAGGGGCAGTGCTGCTGGAGCTGACCAGAATGGCACTGAGGGGCAGTGCTGCTGGAGCTGACCAGAATGGCACTGAGGGGCAGTGCTGCTGGAGCTGACCTCTGTCCATCCTTCTCTCCAGGAGGGGATCCTGGACATGCAGCCAGCCAGGACATGCCTGCAGACATCCCTCCCATCAGGGCCTCCATCTGCTTCCCTCCCTCCAACAGGCACAGGCTCACTGATCTGACAGCAGCAAAGGCTTCCAAGCTTCAGGAAAGAAATTTAAAGGCAGGAGAGAGGTGGAGAAGAGGCTTCCCGTGGTAATTTCCCTTCAGGACAGAAACAGCAGCACCTGACCCCACACAGCAAGGTCTCACCTGCCCATGCCAAGGCTCAGCACCCACAGTGGCAGCAGGAGAGCAGGAAGGGGGAGGATGAGCATCAATCTCTCCTTTTCTTCCTGACTGAGGTGGAAGTCAGGCCTTGCTTATCAGAACTTTGATTATCTAGAAACTCATCCCTTAACCAGAATGAGGTCGTGTTCCTGACATGTTCAATTGCATCAAAAATCAGCTTGAATATATCAGCCCTCATTAATCAGAACCAGCTTATTGTCACTCATATTCCTTGATAAATGTAGGTCTGAGCACGTTTGGCTTTGCTGGCATGGGCTGAAAAAACATTTACACTCAAGTGTTTTCCTGCTAAAATTAAAGACCCTGAAACCACAGGTCTGAATCTAAGCAGGGCTCCCCAGGCAGAGCACTCCAGATGCTGGAACTCTCCTGCTCAGATATTAGAGGGGCCACACCACCTAATGGGAACACAGATTTGGTCCCAAATTGCTGACATCCATGGGGTATGGTCTCCTTAGTGCCAGAGCTGCCTGGAGGAGCCACACTCCAGCTGCTGGTGCTTCCCAGGGCTGGGCAAGCTTCCACAATGAGCTCAAAACCCTCCTGCAGGAATGGAAAAACATCTCACGGATTTGGGTGCTTTGTTGCTGTTTGTTGTGATGATTCAGAGGAATTAGTGCCATGGAACATAAGGCAAGTGAGGAAATACAGGGGAGGATCTGGGTTGCCAGTGTGAACCTGCCTTGCTCTTCATCCTCTGCTCACTTCTGCCAAGGGCTGCTGGAAGGGCGTTGCAAGAGAGGTCTAGGAGTGATAGAAATTCCTGATTTGTCTGGGGAAAAGAACTGGAAGCAGCTTGGTTCCACTCATTTAGAATTTGATGTCCCCTTCACTGCACGGGTGGGCTCAGTGCCACAGAAAGCCCCACGCAGAGCAGGACAGTGCTGCTGGCACAGCCTCAGCATGCACAGGGAGTTGGAGCTTTCAGACATGCACAACATGAACAGTGATCTCCAGCCCAAAACCATTCCCTCATCCCTGAGGAACCCCAGGCAAATCTCACCACAGAGCTTTATTTGCCTCTGGCATCCTTCACTTACACTGACTTTCTGAGCACAGTTACTCACTGTTTCAAACACACAGTATGCTTAGCCTCACCTTGGACCAACTTTTCCAGCAATACTGATTCCTAGAAAAAAAAAATCTTCAGTGAGCACCTTCCCTGCAGCTTGAGCAAGCACCAGAGCACAGGCAGCACTTTGCTATGTGTGAGGGGGGGGTCAGGCAGCAGGGGCTCAATGCCAGAGCCAGAGGGCAAGCAGGCAGCATCAAACACACCAGGCACAGCTCCTGCAGAAAGTCACCCTGTCTCTGAATCCTTGTGCTTGGCAATCAGTCCCACACAAGGCAGAAATCTGCCTTATTAAAGCATGAACTGCTGAGCCCCTCGTTAAATGCCAGCCTCATCTTCTCCTGGGGGATTATTTACCCTGCAGATGGGGTTACTGACCCTGGAGCAGCAAAAAGGATTTCTAGCAGAGATGAGGCAATTGGGGCACATTTGCCATCCATAGGGTAATACCATGCAGTCTCACAGAGAGGCTGCTTCCCACACACATCAGAAAATATCCAGTATAGCTGTGTGCACACAAGGCATATGTTTCTGTATAAGGTATCTGTATAGTGTAGCTCCTCTTCCTGCTTTCACTGTGTTTTATCTTTAAATTGGGAGAGCTTTTTAGTAGCAAATCATCAGAGAGGAACTGCTAGTTACCAAGGAGATTCTCTGATGAATCAGAGACTGACTGGTATAAGACCTAGACAGGCTGTAGCTTCTTAATTTGCGAGACCTTACATTTTAAACAGGGGGAACAAAGATCCTTTCACAACTAACTGAGGACCTGACCAGCAAGAGCTGCTTTTCCTTCTGCCACAGAAGCAAACAGCAAGAGCGCAGCATGGGAAATCAGTGAGCAGCTGGGGACGGGCGGGAGCGCCTCTCCAGCACGCTCTGGGCTCAGGAAAGCAAACACCAGCCAAGGACAAAGTGGTCCGATGGAGGTGACTGAGGGAAGGGCTGGGAAGCCCCTGATTTGCCACCAGCACAGGCAAGGGCACGCAGGGATGAGCGAGCACCGGAGAAGGAGCCGCGCGCCCGCTCCTGCGCAGCCCTGACGCTCCGGAGGCAGAGGGTGCACGGCCAGCCAGGGCTGCTGGCCACGGGCTCAGCACTGCACTGGCACTGCCCCAGCCCTGATCTCCTTCGTCTGCCTGACTCCTGCAGCTTTCTTCCAAGGAAAAATGAGAGGGATGAGCTTTGCCAAATGACAGAGAAGGCACCGACTCCACATGGAGCGTCCTGCCCTCGTGGACATGGCCAACACGCCCCAGTGGAGTCACGGCAGCCCAGGATGTGCAGGCAGAGTGGATTTCAAGAAGAGTTTTTATAAACGTGGGGAGAACAAGGAGCTTCGTGAAATAAAGTTTGGAGAGAGAAAGCTCAGCTTTTTTTGGGTTGACTTTATTCAGAGGGTCTTCACACCCACTTCCTACTGACAGCTTGTTTCTGTGTAGTTGCTGAATTCTGGTGCTTTGCCTCTATTTAAAAACCAAAAGTAATTAAAACTTCCTGGGAACTGTGAAAGCAGCAAGAAATACTTGGACACATTGAGAGACGAGATATTTGGAAGCCTTCTGCTGGTAGCTAGGCTGTTTTCCCCAAGGTGGCAGCTACAGAAGTTCGTAGATGAGAGGGAAAATCTCCCTGTCGCATCCCATTGAAATCTCCATTTTAGGCACTGCTGCTCCACTGCTGCTCAGGTAAACCTGATCCTTATGGGGGGAAGCTGCTGGATGGGCCAAGCAATTTGGGATGGGGTCGGTGGAAGAACTCAGGGCAGTGCTGGGGAGTGGAGAGTAAAGCATGTATCAGAGCACATTCAGGTTTGACTGCTAGGTGCACACTGGAAAAGGATTTCCTAGACTGATTGCAGCTGACAAGGGGCTGGCACCAGCCAGGCTTTAACCCAGGAGTCGAGTGAAGGGCATTTTATTAGTCAAACAGTTTCAAGTGCTGCTCTGAGTTATAAATTACACTTGCTCATCTGAGGAATGAATTCGCTGTTGGTATCATTTGTGGGCTGGAGCTAGAGGCTTACAGTGATGTCTAACTGATGCATATTGGGATGTTTCAACTTATTACTGTACCCTGTGGACCTCATTTGGAAAGCAAAATACTCCAGAATGCTGCAATAGAGACTGAAAACAGCATATGGGGTAGGGAAGGGACACAAGAAACACTCCCTGACAGCAAGCTGCTCTCAGAACCACAAAGCAAAACTGTCAGGAAATTCCAGGCTGTGGCTCACTGCCAGGGGGGAGCTCACTGTCCATCCCCTCCGACTTCACACACAGGAGTTCATACAGCATTCACTGACAGCTCCCCAGCTGTGTCAGGCAAGCTAAAGGTGTAGGAGTAACAAATGAAAACAGGCTGCCAGCTTTAATGCACTAATTGGGGGTTATGATCTTCCTTTTTTTTAGGATGGACTTGAAGTCATGTATATGTTTGCATTTAAAACAGAAAAATACCAAGGAAGCTGTAACTGCACACAAACTTGCCACTGACAGAGCACAAACTTCCACACTCTCCCCAGCTTCCCCAGCAGTGCCAGCACTCCAGCCCTGGGCTGACTGGGAATATCCATATTCCTCAGAATGCATTCAGAGTTCTTTTGTCCAAATGTGTACAAGCAGCAGGAGCTGCTGGAGCAGGAGCTGTACTATACACAGTGATTTTAATCCAAGAATAGCAAAGAGGCAGGTTAGGGATTTACAAACAGAAAAACTAAGGCAGTGAGCATTTAACTAATTTGGATAAAAACTTGAAGCTGGATAGAGCAAGTGTCCAGATGGGAACTTAGATCTTCACTTGCACCTTGTAATAACATAATCTGGAAAGCCTTGGATGTTGCTTGCTTGTGATTTTTGCTGCACAGTGCAGTTGGTCTGAGCACAGGGACCAGCAGTAGCAAAGCCCCTCGTGGTGTGATCATGGTGTGACCCCTGGGCTGGAGCAGCACCTGCATCCTGCCTTTGCTTGTGAATTCTGACTGCAGTAAATGAGTAGGAGATGGACAGTGGTCTGAACAGTGGCTTTGGAGTTGGGATTGTCACCACAAACATTTTCCTGTTTGTGGTGAATAAGGTGAAGGAAAGAGGTGGGGATTCACAAGGAATGCAAACTTCCAGGTGAAGGGTGGTTTCCACCAAGCAGTGGGGCTTGACAGCACATTTGTCCCTCCTACTAACCTGGTGTGGGAATGAGGAGAGATTTTGTTAGGTAACACAAAACCACAAAGAGACTGAGAGGCAGAGCTTGCTCCAGACCTCCACACATTCTGCCATGGTGTTTCTGGGCAATCAGTTATTCTCAGCACACAGAGTGTCTGTTGCTGAGCACAGAGTCCAGGCACTGGGGAAACTTATGAAACAGCCATGCAGATTAGCTCTCTGTCATAATCTACTCAGTCCCACTGGAGGAAATCCTGTCTTTCCCTAGGAGGCCTTCACCGCCCCACTAGAAATCTTCTTATTCTCCAGCAGCCCCTGGGCAGGGCAGGGCAGGGCAGGGCAGGGGGGTTTTGCCTCACAGGGATGCCCTGCACCAGCCTCAGTCACTGAGTCCTCACCACCCAAAAAGTGGGTAGATAGATGCCAAGGTATTCTCCCTGTGTCCCCAGCATGGTGTCCCAGCATTGCCCAACCTCAGGCACCAGCCCAGGAGCCCCAAGGCTGCAGTGGGCTGAGCCAGCCAGGTTTAGCAGCAGGACTCAGGACCAGCCCAGCACCTCCCATGCCCTGGAAGGCACAGCTGTGTCCTGGCACAGCAGGGAGGTGCAGGATCATTCCTGACCACCTGCTCTGAATGACCCAAACTGCACCAAGGGGCTCTGGAGGGAGCCTGCAGCCAGTGCTCCTCAGATGGGAACATGGGATTTACAGCATGGGGCCAAGAGAGATAAGGAGCACAGCCATGGCAAAGGACAGCAAAAGGCCTCAGCACCTTTCCCACCTTCAGCACCTTCCCACCTGGTAATTGTTTCTTATTTCCCTTTCTACTTTTGCTTTTAAAGGAGCTGGAGAAGTCACTTATTCTCTGTGCTGCTTTGCATGCCAGGTGCAGACTGCTGGGAGATCCCAACACCAAGCACTGAACCTTTCAGGTCCAGTGCCTTCCAGGCTATATCCAAAATGCCAGAGGCAACCCAGCAGACTGGAGCATGGCATGCATCCAGAACAGACCAACATCTCTCCCCTTTACACTCCAGGATCAGCTGGTAGGTCAGTGTGCCCTGAGCCAGATGCAGGATGTTGTGCCAACAGAGGGCAGGGATAGCAAAGTCTCCTGGCTTTTTGCATGCCTGTTCAGAGGCTGCAGACACAGGAGTACTGATGCTTGCAGCACCCTGCAGGTCAAGGGCAGCAAAACTGAGTCAGTGGAGGGATCTGCATGAACTTCCTCAAATAATGCTTGGGGGGGACATGGGGGAGATGCCAGGAGTTCCCACTGCCACAAGAGTGTCCCTTTGGAGCACTGCAGCTCTGCAGTGCCTGCTGGGCTGAACAGTCCTTTTGGCTCATGTCATCTAGTTTAAATGCAACAAGCATCCTCCCCGTGCAGGTGTGAGCCACAAGCACCATCATTCCAGACACACGAGCCACTCAGAGCCACACTGCCTCTCTCTTAATGGAAAAGAGGCATCACAGCAGCAGCTACAGCATGGGCCATTAACTTACTGCCTGGCAGATTGATCCTAGACTTTAACATGCATTTAACTAGAGGTTTAGAGCAGAGGTATTGCAGTGCAGCTGTTGAAATGCACTTTTACAGAAACAGCTTTAGTGCTGGTTGAACTCGGTGGCAAAGCTGCCTCTGGCTCCTGTGTGACCATGGACTCACTTCTGTGTGTCCAGGCAAACACTGTCAGCTGCAATATTTGGTTGTTAACAAAACACATGAGGCAGTACAGTTTCATTAAGTGTTTCACCAGAAATAAGCAGAAAATTACTTAAATGTGGTTTATGTAAAACTTGCCCAGTGCAGAACTGAAGCTGTGCCCTTCTGAGGCAGCCCCACAGGTGCTGGTGACCCTTGTGCTTCAGGCACACTGAGATTCCTTGCTGGGCTCCTTCCAGATCAAGTTGGCTTCACTCAGCACAGCACAGGCACATACCTGCCCCTTACTGCCCAACCATCATCTCCCAGATGCACTGTTGGGGTGTGCAGGAGGGACAGGAGGCCAAATTTCTATAGAATACCTGCCAGTTTAATTACAACTTGCTCAGCAGAGCCTTGCCCATTTCTACACCAGGTCAGTTGTACCCCTCAGTTGGTAAGCTGGTCTTGCTAACTGGTATGTGTCCAGCAGCAGTGATTTTCTACCTAATATCAATGGAGATTTTAAATTGCCTTTAATTGGAGCTTCAAAGATCCCCCTGTTTCTCAGCAATTAGCTTCTGTACTGGGTTTGAGCTGAAGAGCTGCCCCCCACACTAGAAATACAACAAACTGGAAAAACTGTCCATTTTTTATTCTGCTTTAATTCTTAACTCCGTTGTTGACGTGCAAAGGCTGGTGAGGAGATGAAATGCATCCCATATGAGGGAAGCATAAGTGAAAAACCTCAGAAATGCTTTAAAGCCCATCCATGTCCCACCCCCATGCTTGCAGTTGGGTTTATTCTGCTTAAAACTGAAGTCTGATCCCTGCTAATGACACAGTTAATTATCTCAGAGCAAAGGAGCTGTGAGGTTCTGAGGAGCACTGGACCTTTCAGAGGCAGGGGAGCCTGTTGGGAAGCACTGCCAGGTGACCTGATGGTCTCAGCACTGCAGGCTCCCCCCAGGACCAGCAGGTCAGCATTAGGAGGCAAAGGTCATCCCTGGGATTTCCTGTCAGCACAAGCTCTCAGTGAGGAAGGCAAAGAGCTTTTCCCCCTCACCCCATCTCCAGCCCTAGCGCTTCCCCCTCAGCACATGCCCAGCCTTGTGTGTCCCCAGCTCTGCCATCCTCATTACATTTCCCACCCAGGCCTTATCCCACCTGCCCAGCTGTCTCAGGCTAAGGAGGACACTCACTCTCTTCACTTATTCTCACTCTCCTCCCATCCCTCTGCTCTCTATCCCATGGCCTCCTGCCCTCCTGCATTGCCCCCACGCCAGCTCCAGAGCTGGCACGACATTCTTATCTATGCTTCTGATGGGGTGCTTCCAGCACCTCAAAAAATCCCTCCAGCCAAATTATTGAAGCCATTTAATACTACATCTGACTGGTACAGGCATTGAACTACTTAAAATAATTGCATTTCTCACCAGTTACAGATAGAACAGACCCTTTTTAATCATGTTTTAATCATTAAGATACAGCCTGATGTGCATTACAAGATTATTAACAGCCCCATAAGTGAAATAACAGATACAAGACCAAAACCTAAATCATAAGTGTTCTCAGATGCCTGTAGATTAATCATTTTATATCTCCATAGGAGCATTCATCAAGGCTTTCTGTTCTCACAGAGTCTTAAAGCCACAAGACAGCTCTGCCTTTCCTACAGGAGCAGAAGAAGGGAAGGAAGGCACTTGTTTGCCTCCAAATAGAAGCTAATGAAAAATATGGAACAGGATATAAAGTTGTGATTCCTCATTATTCTGTTTCACTCTGTGAAAAAAACATGCCCTGCTGTGTCTATCCTCTACAGCAATTATAGAATTAATACTGCTTTTAAAGTGTTTTTTTCTTCAGTGCCTTCTTGAAAGTA